ATATATATATATATATATATAGCCCAGCATTGTGCTAAGCACTTAGCATACATTAATTTTATTTAATTCTCAGAATAATCCTGCAAGATGGGTATTATTGCCCCTCTTCCATGGAAGACAACTAAGGCTCTCTAAACTTACATGAATTATCTGCCTCATAACCCATGGGGCCAAGGGTTCATATCTAATCTCTAATGATGGCTTGTCTTTGGCTTCAAACCCTTCAGGGACCCCTGAGTTGTTACCCAACCTCTAAGATGCATTCCAGCACTGGCAAACCTGGCCTTCCCAAATATCCAGCTGATTCTAAGTTTAACACCTGGAACACAGACTCCATCCAACCTCTCTCGCGCTTGGGCTAATTTGAGACTCTTTGTACTCCCCATACGTTCATCATAGCCATCTTCAAATGCTCATAAAGTCCTTGAAATCACCCTAGTAGCCCCCAGCCCACGTGATTTCCTAGGAACCTCACTTCACTGCTTCACCTTATCCCAGGCCATTTGTATAGATACCAGAGCACTCTCCTGGAGCCTCCCCAACTCCAGCAGCTTAGGAAGAGGGTTCTTCCTCTCAGAACCCAACAATTGTTCTCCCCTGTCTCTGAGACCCAAATCATCCCCTTTACACATAAGAAAGACATCCAGAGCCATGATGAGATTGGCTCTGCATCACCCAAATCAGCACACGACCGTTTCTAAAATCCCACGCCAACACTTTTGCACCCTCCTACCTGTCCTACCAGTCTCCCTCCAGCCTCCAAACCTCTGCCTCTTCCACGTGCTTAAGGCACCTTCTCAAACCTCAACCACGGACTGGCACACCCACCAGCTCCCAGTAACTCCGCAGGAGCAGGGGCTCCTTCAGGTCGCTGAGGGCTTCTGGACCCAAGAATCGGTCCAGCACTCCTGGATGGTAAAGGATCTGATGTCAGTAACTCAACTCCATCCCTCTAGAGCTGAGTTCGCAGTCCTTTTTCTCCACAATCACCAGAGCTCCCATCAGGTGATCGCACATTCGCATGATTCCCTCACTCCATTAACACTCCTTCTAACACACCCACAGAACCCAGGAAAAACCCATATCGTCCGCCTCTGAACTCTCCCCGTTGGGCACTTACCGTTTGCAGAGCAAGCAGAAGCCAGATTTCTTCGCGATTGGGACTAAGGTAGCTCCTCCGAAGACTCCTCCAGGTCCGCCTACCGTCCGAGCTGCCCCGCCCCCAAAATTTATTGGGTTAAAGAAGCCAACCCATGCCCCGCGCCGCGTGCAGCCGCTCAGCCTCCGCAAAGCTTCCATTGGGAATTCAGGTCTCAGTCTTCTTCCCATTGGTCTGCATAACAACCGGTAGTGCTAGATACACGTGAGGGACGGGCCGCCCCAGCGCGACGATTGGAAGTCTGACCGGAAGCCACGCCCCCACTCAATTCTGAAGTTCTTACTGGTTGCTAGGACCAACCCCGACCCGCCTAGATCCGTGGCGCAAAAGCCAGGCCTGTCCCCCAAGCTTTCTCATAGGCTGAGCGAACTCAGAGATGTAGAGGACACGTGCCGGCAGCCTCACGCGGCAACTTGTTTACCCAAAAGTTGGGGATTTTCCTTGACGACACTTACCCAGGACTGCGGAGTCTGCGCAGGCGCATCAAGTTTGACCTACACGCAAGCGCAGAAGTGAGGGGCGACAGCGTGGGTGGGGACACTACGCGGAGATCTGAGAGTGAAACGGCGAGCCTCTGGCCCTGGACCAACCCCCACATACACACATCACTGATGCTCCAGAGCCGAAGACACTGTTGGGGTGAATTGGTCTTTACAGTTTAGTTCCTGATGACGATGAAGCTACCGCTACCGGGAGTGTTTCTTGTGCCTCAAAGAGATTGTCTCACTACCCACACCACCACAAATGACACTGAGATCCAGAGGTTAAATAATCTGCCCGAATTATCACGCTAGTCATTATTGGGGCTAAAATTTGAACCTGGATTCCTGACACCATATTGAAGGTGTGTCCTAAGTACTATGGAAAGAATCCCTAAGTCTTCAGGGATTCAGAAATTAAAAAGCACAAAGCCCTAGCATAAGGCAAGTCCTTGAAATAGGTGGAAGTTATAGTGTGTACTTAACTACAAGAATTACCTGTGCCCTTAGGACTGCTGAATTGGAATCTCCAGGGATGAGGCTGAAAAACCTATTTTAAAAAGCATCCCTAGCAGTCTTAGGGGCTAGCAGGTTAGGGAAATATTACTAGTTTTCCTGTACTACTGGATCTTCATTGCTGCAGCCCTAAGAGGTCAAGCCTATGACTCACCCAGTGCCTGGGGATGGTACATCAAGAAGTTGGAGGCTACAGGAATTCTGGGTAGGATCTGGTGTCACAAGTCATAGCACAGAGTGCAAGGGTAGGATACTATCTAGTCAACCCCATGCCATAATCTGCTGGGTATCCATGTGGATTTTTTCAACAAATATTAACCAATTCCTCTAGATGCTGGCACTGTGCTAAGCACAAAAGGGGAAAAATGTCATTTAATGGCTACCGACTTCAGACCTAGGAGGAATGATCACAGGAGCGAGTACAGCATCTTGGCGCTAAATCTAGGAGAGGAGTCAACACCAGAAGCACAACGCAGCAAAGAATGGGAATGAAGGACTGGGAAGCCCATACTGCAGGGTTCACCAGGCTGGATGTGCGGGGTCATTACACTTCCCATTTACCATGGTGCCCCCACCATGGCCACTTTAGGAATCACACTTTGTACTATCCAAGGTCAGGGTCTTCTCCTGCAAAGCCCAGATCCTTTGCAATTATGTTTTCAACTTCCCTGTAACCCTTCCCATTAATAAGAAGAATCTTAGAACAGACACCAGCTGGTTACTCATTACACATTTATTGTACATTTTCACAATCTGGATGCGCCACAGAATTGGGGGCATGGGGGTGAGGGAAGAGGGAAGGCAGGGGACACTGGGATATTATGGGGGGGTCTAGAACACAGTACCCCCACCCCCAGCATCTCTCCTACCCTTTCACACCACAACTTAGATCTCTCTGCTCCCCCTCCACACAGAAAACCTGGAGTGTGAGAGGAAGAGATTGGGGGCCCCCTCCAGTGGCAGGTTAAGGGACTGTATCCTCAGACCCCTAAATTTGTGCCATTTAAAAAGACATTAGACCTTTGCTCTGTCACTTCACCTAATGAGAGGACAGCTCTCCCCACCCCACCCCCACCCCCCAGGCTGCACAGCCCTGGAGAGGGGCAAGAATCCCTGTCATCCAGCAAGTCCCGTACACACATTGGCAGTGACTAGTACCCCCACCCTGAATACAGAAGGGCAGTCAGAGGAGCTGGGCAGTGATGGGGGCAACACGCCCCAAATTGGGAAGAAAGGTTTTCAGTCCAACCTCCAACAGGGATGAGGCCAGAGATTTTAGGCAGGAACTGGGGGGATTCTCTGCCCTGCGCCACTCCTCCCCAAGGCAGTGATGACCCCCACACACACATACTGGCAGCCACCCCTCCCAAAAGAAATCAGATTGTGGCCAACCCCCAACTCTCCTGGTGGGAGGAGGAGGTGGTTCAGGCAGATGGGAGGGAGGGAGACCCCACGGGAATGTCAACTGAGTGCCCCACATGAAAACTGGGGAGCAGGAATGTAGGGAGAAACCCCAAGTGGCAGAATTATTGGTCCATCACAGCACACTAAACTCCAAGACACTTACACACCAGCTGGCGGGGGGAGGAGGATACAAGAGGTTTGGGAAATGGGGGTAGGAGAGGCAAACTGGACTAGAGGAGTGGGAGGGGGCAATTCTGGGAACCAGACGGTCTGGTTCTCTAAAAGCCCAGGCTCCCCTCCACCTGCAAGTAATGTCGTGCAAATGAAAGTGTGATACAGGGACCAATAGGTACTAACTCCTCAGTAAAAAAGAAACACAGGCTGGGCCAGGGATTTAGCTCAATGGTTCCACCGCCTGCCTTGCAAGCTAAAGGAGCCAAGTTTAATCCCCAGTACCAAAAAAAAAAAAAAAGAAAGAAAGAAAGAAAGAAACACAGGTTGAGAAAAGAGTGACAACTAAAATTAAATTTTTTAAAAAGGCTGTCGGTATGCAAATGTATGCTAATTAACATACTGGAAGCTCCCAAACCTTGGGAATCTTAGGACCAAGAAGGGCCAGTCTCAGAACCTACCAATGGATGCAAAGATGCACCTAAGGAGGCCTGGACAGGTGCTTTTTGTTTGGGGGGATTTTGCATGGAGGGGAGGCATGGGGCATCAGTTAAAGGAGGAAGAAGGAGAGAAGAGGGACTATTGCATAGCAGATGCAAATGAAGGGACTTGGGGCTGGTCTGAAGAGAGGGAAAGGGAAGGAGAGAGAGGAGATGATAGGAACCTCAGGAAGGGGCGTTAAGGACAACCGGAAAAATCTTCTAGTAATAAAACTACAAACAGACCAAATATATATAATATTATATATGTATAAATAACAGCTGGCTATTTACAGGGGGCATACACACGGACACACACACACACACACGGATCCAGGGGAGGGGGGCTGAAAGATATGGCTGAGAGGTGGAGGAACGGCTGGGGGTGGGGGAGAGGCCCTTCTCTAGGCAGGGCTGACTCCTCAGGGATTTAAGTGCTGAAGTAAACTGTGGAGAGAGGGTAAAAGAAAGAGAAAGAGAGGGGGCAGAGAAAGAGAAAGAAAGCAGTGTGTCAGGCCTGGCCCTATTCCAATCCTCCCCGCTCCCCAGCTGGCTGATGTCCCTTTCCCTCTCCTGGCCTCAGTTTCTCCCTTTGCAAAACAAAGGGGCTGGACAGATGGATTCCTTCAATTCCATGGTATGGCATTGGGGATACACCCTCTTAGTAAGACTACAAGTGCTCACATAGTGAGTAATTGGCTTCCTGGTCATATCTTAAGCCCCTAGGTCTTTTCTGTCATCTTCTACCCAATTCCAGGATTCCCAGACCAGGATCTTTGGCCTAAAGGGTCCTCAATGGAACACTGGGGCCCACTAGCTTTCCTGTCTCTAAAATCTTAAAAGATGACTCAGGACTGCCATTAGCAGCTATATAAGTCTTTTTGTTGAAAAGTAAAAACTAGGTTAATGACCTTCAAAACCCAGAATTCACAGGGAAAACCTCTCCAGAGAAAGGGCCCTGGCCACTCCTGCCCCCACTCACCGATGATGATGATGAGGATGATAGCGCAGATCACTCCCAAGATTATCATCATCTGGGGTGAGAAAAAAGGTCAGTAAGACAATCCATGACATCCTCCTCATTCACCCCACAGTACTCCTCCCTGCCTCTACCCTTACCTTGAGGTTTTTCCACCAATATTTGCGCTTGAGCTTGGCTGCACTTGTTTCAAACTGGGAGGCCCCCGCCTGGAGTGCGTCTGCGCGGTCATCCAGCTCTGAGAGCTTCTGGTCCCGCTCCAGGACCTTATCCACATTCACCCTCATAATGTCCACCACCTGGGGGAGGGGCCACGAGATGGGGTGCATGCCAAAGGCCGCCTCAAGGGAGGCACTTCTCCGACATGTGCCCACTGTGTCACACATGGAACATATACCCTGATGCTGCCAGGCTAACATGCCAAGAACATACACAGAACATGTCTGGCACACCTGGAAACATTCGAGGAGCACAGATCAGGGGTACGCTGGCAGCCAGACATCTCAGATATCACAGTAGCACCCTAAGCCTCAGACAACCTGTCCATCACCAGAGCACACCTGCCCAGGCTGGCACACCCTGGGCTAGCACAGCTTTTTAACATCCCAGAGCTCTTCTAAGTTTGTGCTCACAGCGCAACAGGGATAGGGCATGGCATGTCTTTCACCCCAAATCCACAGACCCACAGACCCCATACATGTCCGTCAGCCCCAAGGTCCTCCGATGCTGCTTCCCACTCACAACCCCCACACTCACCTCATCCACCTGTGCCTGGGTCTGCTGCAGTCTCCTGTTACTGGTGAGGTTTGGAGGGGGTGCAGGGGGGCCACCCTCTCCAGCCGGGGCGGAAGGGGGGGCGGTGGCAGCGGTAGCAGACCTGAGGACCAGGAATTGACTAAGATCCTGGGCCTGGAGCCTCCGGCCCTGCGGCCTGGGGCTCCGCCCATCCACCTGTCCATCCTTTCTCCCTTCAGTCCTTTTCGGGAAGGGGACCCGATGGGAGCCCCGGTCACCCTCTAGCCCCGCTGCCGATGCGCTGCGTGACCTTGAGAGAGGCCCCCTTCCCCCTCTGGGCTTCAGTCTCCCCGAGTGCCAAATGAGAGCGACCTCGCAGACGTGGTCCAGGGTCTACCCGCAAAGACTGGCAGCCGTGGTGACAGGGGCGGGGCGAGCGGGCGGACACTGGGTCCGTCGGCTCCTCTCCCTTGCACGGCCATCTGCCCGCCTGCTGTCCAGGAACGCGGGTCTCCCCAGCCCGGCGCA